ATGCACACACGCACACACAGACAGACACACGCACACAGACACACAGACACACTCGCGCACACACAGACACACACAGACACGCACACACAGACACACACACATACACACACGCACGCACACAGGGACACACATACACACACATACACACACGTGCACACAGAGACACGTGCACACACATGCACACGCACACACATGCACACACAGAGACACACATATGCACACACGCACACACAGACAGACACACACGCACAGAGACACATGCACACACACGCACACTCACACACAGACACATACACACACAGACACATGCACACACGCACACAGACACACATGCGCACACATACACACACAGAGACACACACGCATACACAGACACACGCACACACACAGGGACACACACACACACACATACACACATGCACACAGAGACACGTGCACACACATACACACACACATGCACACGCACACACATGCACACACGCACACACAGACAGACACACGCACACAGACACACAGACACACTCGCGCACACACAGACACACACAGACACGCACACACAGACACACACACATACACACAGAGACACACACGCACGCACACACGATTCTATTTTAAGCATCGGAGCAGCGGAGCCAAAGCTCCGTCTGGAAAGACATCACGGCCAGTTTAAATCAAGCAGTAGCTCACCTGCACCTCGGGGACCCAGGTTTCTGACCTCAATTCAGAAAAATAAGTCCAGTCCCGGCCGGAGTGGCTCAGTGGATAGAGCGTCGGCCTGCGGACCCAAGGGTCCCGGGTTCGATTCCGGTCAAGGGCACCCGCTTCGGTTACAGGCTCCTCCCGGGCCGGGCCCTGGTCGGGCTGCGTGCAGGAGGCAGCCCACCAACGTGTCTCTCTCATCGAGGTTTCTCTCTGTCTTTGCCTCTCTCTCCCACTCTCTCTAAAATCAATGGAAAAATATCCTCAGGGGAGGATTCAAAAATAAAATAAGTTGACAGGAACGACAGTCCCTCCCTTTCCAACCAGTGGCGTAAGCCTGTCTCCCCCGCCCCCACCTCACCCCACAAAAAGCAAGAGCATTCGATCACAGGGACAAAGTGGCCTGAGCCTCAAAGAGACGCCACCGAGTGTCATCAAACTCGCAGCCCTGCCCCCCCGCAC